CACAACGACTAACGAAAGACGAACATTCGAAGAGATGAAAAACTCGCAATTAGAAATTCACAGACAAATCACCCAGAAAATGAAAATGTTCTTATCCCCAGACAAATTACCCAGAAAATGAAAATGTTCTTATCCCCAGACAAATTACCCAGAAAAACGAAAAAGTCTCCTATCTTGAACATATAAAAATAAGTCGAACGGGCAAAGAGAACTTACTCATGCTCATGATGCTTGACGAGAAGTCTTGAAAAATCGGAGAAGAACGCCGGAAAATTAGAGCGCCGGGAAACTTGAGAAAGTTGTAATTGCCGGAGATAGACAGAGATCTTGAAGGAGGCGAGTGCGAAAAGTGATGAAGAGGAAAAGGGAGGGTTACTTATAGAGAGGGCGATGAAACCCCAGCTCTCGGATTAAAGTCATTCTCAACGGCCAAGATGAGGCACAGAATACGAAGCGGCGGAGAGAGAAAATGCTGATCTTTTGAATTTTGAAATTTGAAAAGATTCAGACTTATCCAATCAAGTCAAAATTCGCGAAAAACGAGTCGTATTACAAGTTGAGGTGTTGAATGGATGAAACCCGAGATGACAACTGATGACGGGAAATATGAAAAGATTCGAGGAAAATTTTCAGTCGACAAAATCTACTCGTAAGCTCAGAATCGCTTCGAGTAATTTTGGGGGGGGACTAGATGATATAGCCATACTGTCGTGTATCGGTTCAGTGACCGTGGCATTGCCACAACTGGCTCATAGCGGTTCATATCATCACGGTTCGAGACTACCAAGTCGACTTCGGCAAAGTCGACTCTATTAGTAAGATTCCATGATACTCAGTCAAGAAGTCCGGCTCTCGACCGAGTCAACGTACACCTGTCGACTAGAATAAGTCGACCTCTGATAAGACAACGGTCAGATGTATTAGGGTCTGCTAACGGTTGAATGCGACCCAGTCGACTCGACGCAATATCCCAAGTCGACTGAGGGAGTCCTGTAGTTCGTGGTTCCCGATAGCTTTGAGACACCTCAGCATATTGTAGAAGAGTTAAGGATAAGAAGGAAGCTAAGGAAGGATCTAGATGCTGACTAGGAAGTAAGCGGAATACGAACCGACCGGGGTATTCTGGACATTTCCATTAAGTCGGCCGGGGCATTTTGGGGACTTCAGGTATATATTGTACTCTTATATAGAGGACTGAGGTAATCCCTAAACCCTAACTCCCATTCATTCCATACCCTATTCATTACTGTTGCGGCTCTCATAGCAGCTCTCATCATCTCTCTCATATACTGACTTGAGCGTCGGAGGCTTTACGCCGGAAACCCCTCCGGCGTTGAGTTCTTGCAGGTGTTCTTGCAGCTCAAGCAACGGTTCGAGCTCCATCATATCAGATCTAAGCTCATTCACACCGGTTCATCCCAGATCCGGACGTTTTCCCATTGGACCATTCCAGATCTGAGAGGAGACCCATCAGTGAGGAAACCGAATTTCTCTTCTTTTTTTGAGTCGAAATTTCGAATTTTTATTCGATTTTTCATTAAAAAAAAAAGTGTCATCTTGTTAGTCCTTTGGTTGATTTTTTTTTTCGGTTATTACCTTTTGTTG